AGGGGGTTGGTGCTGCACTGGGCTTCACCGTGGCATGGCCGCCTCCGACCAATGTCTTCCAGGTGGCACAGCAGGCCTGGCGGGGGGGCACAGGAGGCCTGGGGGGGGGGGATCAGGGTGTGATGAGGCTCTCAGAGGCCACTTGAAGCTCTCAGTTTCCCTCTTGGTTCTTTCACCCTCCGTCTCTACCTGCCACCTGTGATACCCTCTGCCTCCACACCTGTGCGTCCAGGTGGACAGAGGCAGGAGAAGGAGCCCACACGGTCAATGCAGGTGGATCCTGGGGCACAGGTGGCAGCAGCACAGTCGTCCAGGTTCTCCTCACAGCCCATGCCCCCCCAGCCGCTCACACACACGCAGTGAAAGCTGCCAGCAGAGTTCTGGCAGGTGCCCCCATTTCTGCAGCGAGGGGGACCCTGAGTCTCACATTCATCCACATCTTCGGAACAATCCCAGCCTGCAGGAGGGTGGAGAGGGGACAATGGCTAGAGCTGGGAGCCCTATGAAGAAGAGATGCCAGAGGCTGACTATCTGTGCCACTGGTACCATGAACTTAGCTTAAACAACTCACCTGTCCAGGTCTCTGGGCAGAGGCAGGTGTAGGTGCCCAGCCCATCCTGGCAGGTGCCCCCATTCTGACATTGGTGCCCAACACAGTTGTCTGGATTCACCTCACAGTCTGGGCCTGTGAAACCTGACAGGACCAGGGGGTCAACTGGGGGAGGAGGACCCAGGGAGACAACCCTCTCTGCCCAGAGAGAGGGGCTACAGGAGAGCCCCTGTGAGGACGCACCTGGGGGGCAGAGGCAGAGGTGAAAGCTGTAGTCTCCCTTTGGTACCAGCTGGCAGGTGCCCCCATTCGGACAGCCCCTGTGGGGGCAGGGTCCCGCATGGAGTTCACAGTGTAGACCCTCCTGCCCTGCAGGGCAGAGACACTGGAAGGAGCCCAGGGTGTTGTGGCAGGAAGTGCCCTTGGGACAGGGTCCTGGGTCCAGGAAGCACTCATTGACATCATGTTCGCAGGTATGACCCTCGAAGCCAAGTGGACAGCGGCACTGGATCTGGGGGTATGTGGCCAGGCACACCCCTCCATTGATGCAGGGATTGGCTGAGCAGAAGTCCCGAAGCTGGCACTTCTCGCCTAAGGCAGAGGGCAGAGGGCAGAGGGGGCTGTTTCCAGCATTGTACAAATTCCAGCTCATCTGAGATTACCCAGCTCTCACTCTGGAGATATCTAATTTTCATATTTCCTTCCCTTCATTCCCATACTCTCTTTGCCCTATTCCATCACCCCTTGCCTCAGTTTTGCCATACCTTGGGAGGGCCATATCTGGACTGAGCATATTTTCTAAATTGAAAATAGGGCATATGTCTAACAGTGGGCATGTTGAAAATTGGCCCTGCCAGGGAAAATCTGGGATGTGGCATCTTTTCAGTGATGATCTTCTGGAGAGAGGTAAAAAGCACCCAGCATCTGCAGACAGGAGACTCAGGTTGGCACCCTGCTGTGCCACAACTGGTTGTATGCCCTTGGGTGAGTCACTGTGCTCCTCTGATCCTGATTTCCTAATCTTTAGGTGGGTATAATGACTTGTATAATGATCAGGAGCTCACTTCACAGCTCATGCGCACCAGTGGTAATGGCAGCAGCAGCAGCGGAGGTGGTGGTTGCCATCATGAACCGCACATGTACTCTGTGCCAGGTACTGAACGAAGTAAGCACTTCTTGAGCACAGTCCCCACCATGCCCTGCACATATACTCTGTGCTGGGTACTGAGCTAAGTAAGCACTTTCTGAGCATGATCTCTTTTCATCCTTTCAACAGCCTCATGAAGCATGAATGTTAGTCTCCCTTTTCGTCAGTTTATAAGAGAGGACCCAGAAAGCTTAACTATCTTATGCAAGGTCGTGGAGTTAGTGGCAGAGGTGGCATTGGGGCTGCCCCAGAGCCCCTCCTCTGAATCACTAAGCTTGCCCCAGGGTTACACCACTCCTCCTAGGATGGGGCCCCACTCCTCTCTCTTGGTTAGATCCCTCCCACTCCCACTACACCTCCCAGCACTGCAGTCTTTGCAGACAATATTATGGGCACCTGCCACCCAGAATAGGGGCCACTGGGATGCTCAGAATGCAGAGTCCTGCAGGTCCCCTGGTATGCCAGGTGATAAGCCTCTAATTGCTGGGTTGAGGGGACATTGAGGGGGCCCAGAGAGGTATCAGGATGGTGTGCTAAGGGGGCTCACAGCCCCCTTTGTTTGGAAATGTTTAAACATTTTAACAATGAGTACAACCATACTGGTGAATATCAATCTTGGGAAAGTGGGTCACCGGGAATTGGCTCTTTGATCCTCATGGCCTCTGTCCTCAAAGGGTTCATGTTCTCTTAGGCTCATTTTCCATCTTTCCTACCCCTCAGCCTAGCCCACTGCTCCTGCCTGTCACGTCCCTGCCACCGCAATCACTGCTTACCTGTCCATCCAGGCAGGCAGGAGCATTGCGGGAGGCCTGAGGCCTGGATTTGGCAGTGGCCCCTTTTGGAACAGAAGGAGGGAGGACAGGGGTCTTTGAGCTGGGCCTGGCACCTCTTGCCAGTGAAGCCAGGGGGGCAGCTGCAGAGGAAGCTGGGGGCCGATTGGGAGGGGGGGCTAGTGGAACCCAGGGGGGTGGGAAGCAGGGCTTGGCAGCTGCCCCCATTCTGGCAGAGCTGGACATCCTGGCAGGGGTCAGGAAACTGGCACGTCTCACCCAGGAAGCCAGGGGCACACCTGGGCAGGGAAGGAGAGAGGAAAACTCCCATCACCAGCCTGTCTCCCTCCTCTCCCACCTCCCTCCTTTGTCTTCATTTGTTTCCCTCTCTCCTTCACTCCTTCCTTTCTCCTTTCTTCCCACTTTCTCACCTCTCCCTCCCTCTTTCTCTCCAGTCTCCCACTCCCTCGAGGCACACTCACTGGCAGGTCCCTTGCCCCTGAGACAGGCTCAGGCAGGTGCCTCCATTGGCACAGGGTTCTGGGAGGCTCCCGCACTGCAGCCCTAGGAGGGAGAGGGGTGAGACAGGAGCAGGGGCGTGTGCCTTCCCTCTCCTCCAGATGCTCCCGAGAGATCTGCCCACAGCAGCCCCTAGACACCATCTCCTTCCTACTCCTGTCCCCAGTCCTCACGTGGTCCCCAGCCCCAGTGCTCTCCATGCCAGGCCTCTCCGTTACTACTCCCCACCCCCCCTTTCCTGTTTATTCTCTGGCCTTCCAAGTCCAGCTTCAGGCACCATCCCTCTGAAGCAAGACAACAGGGATCAGGAGGGGGGCTGAAGGGGCTCCTGGGAGGTGAATGGCTTAGACTTGGAAGGGATTTCCTACCGGAAGGGCCCAGCATTGAGCCATCTGGCGGGGGGTGCGGGGAGGACAGCTGGACCCGGAAAGGTCCCTTGACCTTCCATGTCTCCATCTCCTGCTCCCCTCTCAACTCTTCCCCCAGCAGGTGGTCTGTCTGTTTCCTCCTCCCCTCCTCAGCATCTGCAATAGGGCCAATGGGGTTCCCCCGGGTGTGAGCACCCTCTCACCCATCCCCCGTAGCCATCACCACCCCTGGCACCGGGCCCAAAGCCTTGGTCTGAACAGCTCCAGTGGCAGAGTCGTCTCTCTCTGCCGGCTGCCCCCATTTGGGGGCGTATGAGAATCTTCTCCATCCAGTGTCCACTCAAAGCTGGGTCTTGGTTTTTTCCCCCACCCCACTGGACATCCCACTAAGGGAAAAGGGTCCCCCCACCTCTCCCACCCCATGCCTCACCTCTGCTCATAATAATTGAGAAACACAGCAGCAGCGACAGCAGCAGCAGTGGAGGGGGCTGCATTCCAGAGCCCCTGCCCGAAGCCCAGATCCCCTCTCCCTCTTCAGGCAGGGACCCCAGAGCCCTCACCCAGGCAGGAGCCACCTCCTCTGCTCCCACCGCCCCTTCTTCCTCCTCTTCGGCCTGCTGTAAGCCTCACGTCTGAGCTGTTTCCTGAGTCACACAATGTCCTGGACACCCTAGTGATGGGGGGGGGGGGGGGAGGAACATTGGGGGGATGAGGGAGGGGCCTCCTGGGCCTTCTGTCCTTGACAACCCCTGGGGATGTGGGGGGAAGTAGGACAGGAGGTGTGTTTGGAGGGCAGGTGATAAGAGGGAGAACCAGCTTGTGGGGCCCCTGGGGCAGTCCCATCCCTTGAGTTTGTTGATATAGTCTATACAATGGCCTGGGCACCCTAGTGGGGGGGGGGGGGGAGTGGAGGAACATTGGGGGGATGAGGGAGGGGCCTCCTGGGCCTTCTGTCCTTGACAACCCCTGGGGATGTGGGGGGAAGTAGGACAGGAGGTGTGTTTGGAGGGCAGGTGATAAGAGGGAGAACCAGCTTGTGGGGCCCCTGGGGCAGTCCCATCCCTTGAGTTTGTTGATATAGTCTATTCTTTCTAGAGATGGAAATTGCAAGGTGGCTGCCCCTGTGCCCCAGGAGGGGCAGGACCTGAAAACGAGGTGTGTGTGGGAGTGGTGGTGAGATATCTCTCCCTATTCTTCTTCCCAGGAGAGGATGCTTAATTTGCTAGGTCAGTAGAGATGCTTCAGAGAACCTGCAACTTGTCATAATTTGAAACCACTCACCTTGGCAGAGGGAACCCAGGGGATTTCTGGGCCTTATTTTGGCCCTTGCTTGGACTTATTTTTCCGCTTCTGGGGAATGGGCAAGATACTGGTCTGGTTTGGGGGGAAATCTTGGCCTTCCTTTGGAGGGGAATGTATATGACTGTCATGAAAAATGAACATAGTCCACTCTACGTTTTGCAGTTTGGGTTATCTGTAGCAAACGCTGAATTTGGGTAGTTTCCACTCCCTCCATCTCTGCCTCCCTTCACTGCAGAGGTCCCTGGGATGCAGGGAATGCTAGTGGGAACACAAAACTGGAGTAAATAGAATCACAAAAGGGAGTTCATTGCCCTGAAGAGCTCATCCGATCTTCTCGAGTCAACCCAGGACAGCTCTGGGGTCAGCCACACACTGAGTTCCTGCAGTAGTGGGTAACTGAGAGTCCAGGGTGGCAGGAGGTGTCAGCAGCAGTTGCGCACACCCCAGCACCCAGTGCCCACAGCTACATCCCAGTGCACTCTGGGCACCATCCTCTGCCAATGACATTCTTCACAGCACCATTCTTTTTTCTTATTTTTAAAAACTTTTTACTTTGAATTAATTTTAAACACATAGAAAAGGGGCAAAAATACTAGAAAGAATTCCAGGATACTCTTTATTCAGATTCACCAATTGATGTCATTTGACCACATTTACTTTATCATTATCTTTCTATAAATACATATTAGTATTTTTTTCTGAACCTTTTGAGCATAAGCTGCGCACAAGGTATCTCTTTACTTCTTTTTTTTTTTTTTTAAAAAGATGACCGGTAAGGGGATCTTAACCCTTGACTTGGTGTTGTCAGCACCACGCTCAGCCAGTGAGTGAACCGGCCATCCCTATGTGGGATCCGAACCCGTGGCCTTGGTGTTATCAGCACCGCACTCTCCCGAGTGTGCCACGGGCCGGCCCTCTTTACTTCTAAACCTTTCAGTGCAATTTCCTAAGAACAAGAACACCCTTTTACATAATACAGTACAATTATCAATATCAGGAAACTTAGACTGATATAATAATATGATCTAATCTATAGTCCATGTTCAAATTTTGCCAAATGCCCCATAATGTTTTTTATAACAATTTTTTTAATGGTCAAGGATCTCATACACTGCATTTAGTTGTCAAATCTTTTTAGTTTCCTTTAATATGAATACAGTTCCTTAGACTTATTTTGCCTTTCACTATATTGTCATTTTAAAAGAATACAGGTCAGTTATTTCTGTAGACTGTTCCTAAATTTGGGTATGTCTGATGTTTATACATTTTGGGTAGAAACACCACAGGGGTGGTATTGTGTCCTTCTCAGTGCGTCATACCATGAAGCCCATGAGCTAACATCATTCTTTTTTTTTTTAATTAATTTTTTTATTGAATCAAAATTGATTATACATATTTTTGGGCTTCAACATTGAGATATGTTGATCAAATCAATATTACTAGCATATATATTGTTACGAATCATAATTATTCTTTATGACTCTTGTCCAGTCTCTCCCTATTCCCCCTCCCTCCCCCGTACCCCCTCTAATTACCCCAGATTTCTTCTCTCCTTCTGAAAGAGTAATGGTTACTCTGTCTATCTGTTGCCCAGTTGATCTGCCCAATGCTGAGAGGTGTGATCAGGTCTCCCAATATTATCACAGAGCAGATGTTTCTTCTGTCACTTTGAAATGGGCTTTGTGGAGAGAGACATCCTCCTCTTTTCTTTATCTCTGCTGGTGACTCTCACTGTGTCAGTGCACTCCAGTGGTTGGTGGACCATCAGCGTGGTGGTTGTGGCATCTAGCCACTTTCGTGGCAGCCATGGTTATTGTGGAGGCTGTGGTAAGCCACCCACATAGAAGCGATGTTCCTGGGATGCTCCTTGGCACTGGTGGTGTGCCCAGTTGTGGAGTGTGTCTGGTCCCCGTCTCCATGCTTTGGGTCCACAGGCGGGCCCTGAGGCACTGGCACGGTTTGCCTGGTTGTGGGAGGGGGGGGGGTCCAGTCCCCTTCTCCATGCCTCCGTTCACCGGGCTGGCCACGAGGCACTGCCAACATCATTCTTTTTTTTTTTTTTTTTTTGTCTTTTTTCCGTGTCCGGCAACGGATCGCAACCCTCAGTGTCGCCCCCGCACTGGACCGGGACCGGCAACAGGATCGCAACCCTCGGCGCTGCCCCCACGCCTCGCTCAGCGGGAACCGGTCTGTATGTGGGATCCGAACCCTCGGGCGGGAGCGCCGCCGCACTTCCCAAGCGTCGCACTATCCAGTGCGCCACCGGGCTGGCCCCGCCAACATCATTCTTAATGGTTGCCCTAGTTCATTTAAACCAATTTCCTACCATAGCTCATTTTTAGGTGAGTCTCAGTTTTTAAAAATATGGTAAACTATGCTGCAGTAAGTGTTCTTGAACATACACATTTGCACGGTTGTCTAATTATCTGCGAATGTCTTTACTCTCGCCAACCTCGGTGTTAGAATCCTTGCCACATTGATAGATGAAATGGTGTCTCGTTGCTTTTTGTAATTGTTTTATTGTAAGTGTTAGCACTATTTTCATCTGTTTAATGGCTGTTCATGTTTCTTTCTTTGTGAGTTTCCTGCCCATGCTTTTGACACATTGTCTTACTGGCGTCATTGTCATTTTCCCATCACCTTCCTTAGTTGCGGAAGCAGACATGGGTGTAGAGACTTGGGAAGAGGAAACCCGAGTATGAAAAGTCCCTGCTTTTGTGCTCTCTGGTTTGCTGATGGGGGTGGGAGTGGGAGGGTGGGGGGAGGGGGGCGGTGGTTGTTGGTGAGTAGTGAAAGGAAAACGGGAAGAGACATCAGATTTCTTGTGGAACCACGAAGATCTGGCTGGAAAGAAATGACCTCGCCATGTCTGCCCTGTTGCTGACCTCACAGCATTTGTGGAAGAGGAGGCTGGAATAGGAGGCACTAGATGGAGGTTGGGAGAAAGAAGAAATGGCAACAGATACAGAGAAGTGGTTTGGTGGAAAGGGAGCCAGAAATGCAGTGGGACAGAGGCTGATTTTAAGGACAATGTCAGGAAGGTGCCCAGCTCACTTTTTGCCTTATCCTGCCTAAGGCAAGGCAGTATGCACTTGCTCAGGTGTTATGAGCTGTGCCTGGGTTTCAGACAGCCTCCTTGGCCCCTGGGAATCTATAGCCCCAAAGAGTATTGAGGCTTCCATAAGAGCGTGTTTCTCCTCCCCATGGCTCCCCAGCGGAGGACGCTGAGGAGGGTGGTGCCACCATCATCACAGTGAACTTCAGCATGCCAGGGACACAGAAAATTCTCTCTCGTGTTAAAATGACCCGATTCCTTACAATATCCCACCAGATAGAGGTTCATTTTGTTTATCTGACTTTCCTTTCATTGTATGCTCCCTGAGAGGGATAAACCTGTCCAATCATTAGCACTTTATTTGTGGGGACTTTCAACGTTAAGAGGATTGACTCTGAGCTTTGTCCTGATAAAGTGACCAGACACAGAAAAGAAAATAGCCCATTGTAGCTATAGAAATAAGTAAGAGGGGCCCACCTGAGAGATTCTTTGTAAATACATAGTTCAGGAGACTTGGAGACCCTCTATTCTCCCAGGACTCCTCTCCACTTTCCTGGAAGCAGGAATTACCTGGAAGTTACTCCTTATCTCTCCAACTTCTTAATACTATAGTGTCCATGGTCAATCCCTGGACCTCTTCTATATTTATCTTTTCCTGGGTGATCTCATCTAGTCTTATGGTTCCCTCCCAGATTTAAATACCACCTATGAAGACCATCTTTGTGCTGATGACTCCCAGATTGACATATCTGGATTACAACTCTTCCCGGAACTCCAGACTAGAACTTTCAATGTCTGATGAGTAGCTCAAACTCAACATATCCAGAACGAACCTGATCTTCCCCATCCAAACCTTCTCCTCTCTCCTGTTACAAATGTTTTGCAATTCTATTCTTTTAGTTGTTCACGCCCAAATCCTTGGAGACATTGCCGACTCCTCCCTTTTTCTCATTCTCCACAGCCAAACTGTCTTATTTACATCCTGTTGTCTCTACCTTCAAAATATATCCAGAATCTGACCACTTCTCAGTTCTTCTCATCCCCACTGCTGATACTCTAGTCCCAGCTGACCTCACCTCTTGCATCTCCTAACATCTCCCTTCCGCTGTCCTTGCTTTCCTTGGCCATTTCTCTGCA